TATATATAATCGTTAATTTAATTTTCAAATAGGCGCAGGAAAATAAGTATTTTTTTTTTGTCTGAGTTCCGAATTCGCCTTTGTTTTTAACTAAAGGATTTTTTTGTCATAGGAGCTCAGTCGATTCAAGGAAAACTCTTGATGCCGAGCATAAGCAGTAACTGCTTCAAACCGCCTATGCGCAAAACAATTAACTTCTATGAAAGAATGATTGCCTTTTCTACGTATTCCAAGTTTTTAACTTTTTAGGTGTAAGAAGCGTAGCGCCTTGCGGAGGCAGTAAGTTTCTAATGTTATGTTTGCCACGTATCTCAACGTAAACTTTTGGATCATATATCCAGTTGATATTACGTCTCTTATTCAATCATTGGTCATCTTTACCGAGCAGAGCTGGCATAGGTACACAATGCTCATATGAGCAATATTTGAGCACTATTATTCACAGCTCTCGATGAACGTCTTCTTTTCCTGAAATTTCTATGTGTTATTTCAGCTCGAATGTACCCCAGCCGAGTGAAAAGGACCGCCATAAGGATAGCTATCCCTTTCATCGTGCCGCCTTCATTGGTGACAATTTTCGAAACGTGGCTTTGTGCACTTCTGCATACCGGTTGTGCTCGAAGCTGTCCGCTAGTTTACTCTCTGCAGTTGCTCAGAAGGAACGGCCGTTGACTGCTGACAGTGACGCTGAACCGTTTACTGAAATTTCTACCCCTAAAGAACGAAATGAACACTCCAGCTCTCTACCACTAAATACACAAAATATGACCCCGAATAATGCCTGGTCATTAATCCCTTCGATATTTCCGCCTGCAATACCTCCGAACGTTCGTGTCCGGCCCGGCAGCAAGGCTACACAGTTTTCGGATGGCACTCTACTAATTGTAGAACCTCCTGCAGAAGACATACCAGGTATTCCAATAATCTCTCACCTAAAGCTTTCCCCACCACCACTTCTAGCGCGGCTGCCGGAGCAAGACGTAGATGGTCAACATATTCCAATCAAAGAAGTGATTTTACCTCCTCACCCGCATGCGCCCGCAATTTTTGAAACTGAAGTTTCATTCAGTACAGGAGGTAATGGGCTTAATGAAATTCTCCAAAAAATTCCAAAGGTACTCAATAATAGTATGAAACTAGCCCCTCAGATGGTCGACCTCCTCAGTCACCTGATTAAGCACGATATTCGCAAATCACCTGTCGACAAACACAGCGATTTTATCTACGATATCATTAAGGGGTCTCTTATTAGCCATATTCAGAGACAGTTTCATAGGCCGTCTGTTATAGTCAACTCCTCGAAAGGTGACAAACAATATTCTCTGCCCTTTACTCCAACGGTTCGTCTTCCGCCGAATTCAACTCATTCACTAACTTTTCCCGTAGCACCGCCCGCCATCCCTAGAACGACCGCAAGACCGTCTTCTCCTACTCCAGTAACCAAGCCACTTTCGTGTTCTACTGCTTGCTGCAATTGTCGCCCTCAGTTTGTTAAACATTTCCATAATTATTTTGACAAGCCGACTATAACAACAAGAAAACCTCAAAAAAAAATGGTTTATAAGAAAGAACCATTTTTAGTTATTGAAAAAGAACCTTTCAGGCTTGAAATCGGGAGATGACTTCCGTAGGAAGTTTTCGTACTATTTCCTAAAATATCTAGTGAGATGTGGGTTTTTATTCCAATATAATATTTATACTTACCTGGATTTTAGTGATCAAGAAACGTAGTGCTATTATGTGTTATAGTCAACGCTATTTATATTGAATCGGAGTGTACGTATGGAACCTTCGTAGTAGTAATCATAATGACAATAGCATTGCGATATCTCATATTGTACATGAGTAAATAAAATTTCAATTTAGTCTGTGCGAATAAATACGTGTTTTATTTACGATACAAACATACTAGATATCTAATTAGAAAGCCAATTTATTGTCTGTTTTTTTTACGAATAATTTGTTGTGTTACTCCTTTAATTATTATAACTTTGTGCACATCTCAGAAAGCGGGCTACCACCTATGAGAACAAATTATTGATGTATTAGGTTGAAATATAAGTATTTTAGTTTTTTTTTTATTTAGGCAATATTTTATATTTACTCGATTTCAATGAATTTATTTTTTTCTCACATGGAATCTTAAGGTCTGGTGTTGGATTCGTCCAGCCAAAAAAACCCTTCACCGTTAAATGTCAATAAATTGCCAATGATAGGAAGAGATGATAATCAGTTGGAGCGAGGTCTATTGAACATATTACTCGAAAAGAAATTCAACTTCTGTAGGGAGGTTTTCTGGTCAGTCACGTCCTGCCGTGGAGCGGAATGACTGCCTTTCTATCAATCTTTTATGTTGAGTAATCTTGTTTATTTGATGCATCGGGCCCTATACGGATACTTATTAACCGTCTTGTTCTTTACAAGCATTTCCTAATGTGAGTA